GCAAAGACACGTGACGTCATGCAACGTCACGCCCGGGGCGCCACGTCATTGGTCACTTTCGCCACAGCCCCCGCCACTGACCAATCAGCAGACGGCTGGCGTGGCTCCCACAATGCACCGTAGCCCCGCCCCCTTTGGCGATAAATCTCTCCTCCAAAGGGGTCTCCTCCGCCATATTTAATCCTGGAGGAAATGCTGGAAGCCTCATTCCAAACGAACAAAATTGGCAATTTCTTTCAAATGCCACATAAGGCATTTCCCTAATTATACAAAATCACTTCACTATTCTTCGAGGTATATACAAATCAGAAAGTTATGACTTATAAGCAGGATATAAGGTAAAACGGGACTGCACACCACAACAATGTTGAGTAGTGGTGTTAAAGTAAAACACCACTACTAAAAATAAAGTAAAGGTTAAAGTAAAACGGGTTACAGAAATAACAAAGAAAATAGATATGAATAATATTACCTTCGATGTTAGTAGTAGTTGTGAAAGTGAGGAGAAAGAAAAAATATTACGGTGTTGGAAGGAAGTTTCTAAGGTACTCTCGTATCTCATGGAATGTGACGGACAGGGCAAAGGTAGTTTTATTATTAATCATGGATGAAAGTAAATTGAGAATATTATCTTGGAACGTTAATGGATTAAAAACTAGAGCGGTGGATGTACACTATTATACTCTTAGAGAGGATATTGACATAGTAGCACTCCAGGAAACTGGGGATAGGGATGGTAGCATTCTGAGGCTAAATGGCTATAGAGGTTTTCACTTATATGCTGATGGAGGAACTAGGGGGGTCTCATGTTATGTCAAAAGTACCATACCTGCCGAGATAACTGGAATCCCTCAGAGATATTGAGGTATTGAAAGTATTAGCTTGCGGAGACAATTACTAGACCGAGAGTTAAATTTCATTAATCTATACATCTCTGATAGCTCCCTTGATTTAAGATACTTGCCAGATTCCTTCTTTTCTGAAGATACACTTGTGGTAGGGGATTTTAATGCCAGACATCTAGCTTTAGGATCAAGGGGTAAAGCAAATAGGAATGGTTGCAGATGGTACCAGTTTTTGCAGGAACATGAAGATGTTCAACTGCTGGGCGAGCCCTCTCCTACTCATTTGAGGGGAGTTAGTTTAGTTCATTTATTATGCACCCCAATCCCATCTTGTGGGCGGTAATGGAAAGGGTTACAGAGGCACATAATGGGCTCAGGGACTGAACCCCACAATTCATTTAGCTAAGCAAGTTACAATCTTGATGAGCTAGTTACAAAATTCAATATAAGTCATCACATCAACAATGGGTTCGAGATCGACCTCAAGTACGGGTTCTAAATTAAGCAACTGACATATGTGGAGAGCTAGTGGGGAGGGAGATTAGATTATGCTTGTTTGATAAATGCTGAGGGCATAGAGGGGAATTGTCTTACTGTGGATGAAATGCTAAGTGATCATTTTGCATTACAAATACAGCTTAAACTAAATAAAAAGCATGCCTGCCTTCAGAGGAAAAGGTTAAAGTTTAATGAGGGAGAATTAAGGGGTCTTGTTGGCCATATTAAGTCTTGGTATGATACTTATGAGTCAGTTTCGGCAGAAGCATTTTATGAAGATTTAATTAAGGAGGTAGATGTATTTAATGCAACATTGAACAGGAAAACATCTAGTATAAAAAAGCATCCCCCCAGAAAAGAAAATTATACACATGACAAGATGCTTAAGTGGTGGACATTGACAATGAGGAGAGCTCACAGGGATTGGAATAGCAATGGTAGGACTGAGGAAGGGAAGAATGCTTTACTGGCAGTTGCTAGGCTGTGTGGGGAGAAGAGAAAGGAAATTAGGAGCAAGTATTGGCAGGAGTTTGCAGAGAAAGTTGGGAGTAACAGAAACTTGAAGGAAATCTGGCAAGACGTAAATAAAATAAGGGGTAAAAAGCATAATTTTGTTGCACATCCAGACCCGCAAGGAATTGCAAATGGGCTCGTAAATAAATGGGCGGAAGCTGCCAAACTTAGTTCATTACCTGCTGTAACGAGAGAGTCATTAGATTCTTGGAAAGATCTAAGAAAGGATTTTATACTTACAGCAGGTAACAGTGGTGATGTCACTTGCACAGGTATTACCAGAGAAGAACTAATAACGGCGATTAAAGTTGGGAAATCTACCGCCCCTGGGGAGGATGGAGTAACTTATGAAATACTTAATGAACTTGCCATTATGACGAAAAGCCCACTTTTAGACCTCTTTAATATTAGTTATAAAGAGGGCAGTATTCCCAGTAAATGGAAAAAAGCTATGATCATCCCTATCCCTAAAGCCAATGGAGAGTACAGACCTGTGTCTTTAACCTCGTGTTTTTGTAAAATGATGGAGAGGATCATTTTAAATAGACTTTTATATATAATAGGTGATCAGCTGTCTAGTAATTTGTTTGGGTTCTTCAAAGGAAAAAGTACCTCTGATGGTATTATTAAATGTCTAGCTAATGAAAATTATTATAGAATTTTTATTGATTTACAATGAGCTTTTGATAAAGCCAACAAAGAGGTTATTTTATATGAATTAGCTGGTCTTGGTGTTAAAGGGAGATTATTGCGCTGGATAGGGGATTATCTTTACGAAAGGAAGGCTCAGGTGTGGTATCAAGGTTGTATGTCAGGTGTGAGATCTTTTGAACTCGGCACACCTCAGGGAGGAGTGTTGAGTCCCACCCTGTTTAATGTACTAATGAATAAGATAGCATCTGAGAGACACTCAAATGGGGTAACTCCGATCATATATGCCGATGATATTTTGTTTCAGGGCAAAGATATTTCAAAGGTTCAAACAGTGTTGGACAATTTCGGAAACCTGTGTCACCGTATGGGACTGGTGGTTAATGAAAACAAAACTAAGTTTGAATGTAGAAGTCGGAGGCCCATTATATTGAAAATAAACGGTAAAAATATAGAGAGAGTTAATATATATAAATATTTAGGCATATATGTTGGATATACCCATGAGAGTTTGGAAGCTGAGATGAACAGACTGTTGGGTCAATGTCAGAAGAGATTACAACCTCTGAAGGCCTTGGCATGCTGTGGAAAGGGAGTGGGAGTCCCTGTGCTACGAATGATATACTTGAGTACTGTAAGATCTCTTATTGATTATGCTGCACCTGTCTTTTCTTGTTTTGGTAAAGGTAGGATGGGCAAGTTGGAGAAGGTACAAAATGAAGCCATGAGAATTATCTTAGGATGTCCAAGAAATGCTATGATTGAGAAAATGAGGATGGAGTTGAATCTGCAGAGTATTGTGAATAGAATTGTAGAGATAAATGTAGCCTCTGCCATTAGAATAATGAGAGGTGGGGGAGCTAATGAATTAATCCTCTCGGTTCAAAAGGTGGAAAGTAGTGAACAGTGTATGATGAAGAAGAGAGTATATATGAATAACTTATGTTCTATTGTTATAAAGTATGATGTTATTACAGAGTGTATTGCTGTGCCCAAGAGACAAGTCACACCACCATGGGAGGATTGTAATGTAGATGTAGTAATTACTCCCTTGCAAAATAAAAAAAGTATGTATGAAATAGGAGAGCTGAGGGCAACATATGATTGTATAATTAGTAAACTGCCTACAGAAAACACTCTACATATATATTGTGATGGGTCAGTAGCTAGGGATGGGAAGGCAGGATGTGGAGTCTTGATCAGGGAGTACACTGACATCGACACTGTAGATACTGTTATTGGACGCCGCTTAACTGACAATGTCTCTTCAACGCAGGCTGAACTCCAAGGAGTATTAGCAGGATTACAGGAAGTAGTCAAATGTGGTAAAAATGCCTGCTTCTTTATTGACAGCAGAGGAGCGTTAGAGTCTTTAAATAGCAGACGCCCAGTATATCAGAATATTGTGATAGAGTGTAGAGAGAATGTTAAGAGACTAGAAAAAACTGGGTATAAAGTAAGATTCATGTGGATCCCTTCCCATGTGGGAATACTGTTGAATGAGGTAGTTGATGACATAGCGAAGAGAGCCACTGAAAAAACTCTTGTTGATGTTGTATGTCAGTTAACCTTGAAACAAATAAAAACAAGACTCAAGGTGATTCAGGAGGGTGAAGAAATGATAAAGAGAATGGCAATGGTGGACAGTAGTAACACACTTAAGAATTATTCAATAATAAATACAAATTCGTCCTTCACTTATGGTAAAGGAAAGTCTACTTGGAAGGATTCAATTTACATGAGATTACGATTAGGATATAAATATATCTGGCAATACGGTGTTGATGTCAGTGAAAAAGATAAGGAGTGTAAATTATGTAGTATGCCGTACGCCCACACCTTAGAACATTATGTATTAGAGTATCACCTTATTGAAAAATATAGAAATAAGGAAATAAATAGTGTACCACATCAAATTGTTTGGATGTGTGATAATGGAATAGTAGACAGTATACTTAGGAGCTACAAGAATTTTGCACCAAGAATGTAACAATTATATGCTGTACTTGCTGTATTAACCTGCAGTGTTAAATGGGATTCTTGTACGTTATTTGTCTATTTGTACTCACTGAATTTGTGCGCCCCTTGAGGGACTTGAAGTAGAGGGGGGTAGAAATAGCCTAAGTTACTCTATCCCTTTGAGATGTATTTATTGCTTATCTCAATAAACATACTTGAACTTGAACTTGAAGCCCTGTCATGCCAGATACATCACTTCACTGAGCTTCATTTAATAACTATAGACCTGCTGCTAAGACGATGATTTTTGCTGTTAATATATTGCGTTTAATATTAACCAATCATTTTGCCCGAAACATTGTGCGTATTAGTGTAGCTCTTTCTAGAAATGCAACATTATGTTTGTAACTCATCTAATATGTATGTACTTTTACCTGAATAAACATTTGATTTGACTCATAAATCTTGTCCGAAATGGTGGAAATTAGATGGGTACGATCCGTGTTTTGTACCGTATCTTGGTAGAGTGCTGTAGCTGCCCCCAGCCCACTACAACAACAAGCGTCCCTCCATCCCTGAGCCACACTAGGTAGTTTAGAGGTGTTATAACTAAGGATAACATCACCAGGTGATAAGCAGCATTAATATACCTGCCAGGGGACGTGCAACTCCAGTTGCAAGAGTTATTTCCGAACATCAGGGCTGATATAACCCCTTAACCAACAAGAAGTCTAACTCCAAGAACACCCTTCAAGCCTTGCCTGTAGAAGAAACTTCATGACAACCTAACGTACCATAAAGAAGATTGTTCCCATTGTGTTGTCGACTTTGTTATTAATTTGTGCTACATAGCCTTCCCGGCTTGGTGCCTTCTTTGATAATTGTTAATAATTTCCGCGATGACTTGATAATTACTAGAGACGATTTGCTTTAATGGTAAGTAATAATAACAAAATATTTATTACAGAAGGCTAGATTATAGTACAGTAGTTTCCTAAGTTTTTATGACGTCCCTAATAACACAGCATTTTGGTCATATGTTAAGATTAATATAAAGGTTTTAATTAGAACATTTTTGGGGTAGTACGTGATGCTGTAAGATGCACATTAATTTATGTAAGTGTTAGAAGTAAGAAATTTAGTGAACTTTATATAAAATTTTCTAGCGCTTAAAAGCCCAACCACTTGGGATGGACGGTAGTTCAAAGGTCTCGCTTCATATAGGTCGGCGTTCAATCCCCAACCGTCCAAGTTGTTGGGCACCATTCCTCTCCCCCCCCCCTGTCCCATCCCAAATCCTTATCCTGACCCCTTCCCATTGCCATTGCCAAATCTCCGCTCCACTGGGGATCGAACCCGGAACCTCAGGACTACGAATCCGAAGCGCTGTCCACCCAGCTGTCAGGTGCCCTTAAGACACCATTCTTCAACAGCTGTTTTGATATTTGTTGTAATTTAAGTAATATTTATTAATGTGTTTGTATCTTAATAAAAGTTGAATTATACATAATCTATATCATGATATGATTAATGATATGGTCGCCTCTGTCACTTTTCAGTACTAAGAGCAAGCATCTTCATGATGTATGTAGACCCAGTACAGGAACTCCATAGAGCAGCAGAACAGGGAGACATTGAATATGTGAAGTCAGCCCTTGAGGATGGTATGTTGGTCAATTCTATGTAATGATAAACTAATAAGAATTACTCTGCACAGAGATTTTGATAGTTTGTTTAGCTTATTTTGGCCATTAAAATTTTTACACATAGCCTACAGCCTTTGTATAATTTCTTTATAATATTTACCATAGATGTCATTGCTTGTGTATGATATAATTTGTGTTTAATAGTTGTCATGTTTCTTTTATATAGTACTGTATAGACAAATCTCAGAGCTAAAACAGATCAAACTCAAGTACTAAACTGTATATATTTTCTAACACAGTATTGTACTCATTGTAATTATTATATTACCATAACTGCATTGAGGAATTCATATTACAGTATTTATATCATGAAATGTATAATTTTAACTGTCATTTAAACTGAACTTCACAGGTGTTGATATTGATTCTCCTGACCATGACAACAACACAGCTCTTCACATTGCTTCAGCTAATGACCATGAGGTGCTTGTGGCATTTCTCCTTTCTAAAAATTCAAATCGTGAAGCAACAAACAACCTTGGATGGACTCCGTTAATGCAAGCAGCAAGACATGGGCACATGCATGTGGTGTTGCTGTTGGTCCAAGCGGGTGCTTCTGTGGATACGCGAAACAGATTAGGTGGGTCTGCAAGTCCCACTTCTCTTATAAAGCTCTGCTATATCTGTATATATCTCTGAATTAGTTTTTTTTTTACCTATTTGAATTTTCCCTAAGTGTTGCTTCTCCTTTCTTATTTGAAAGCCTTGGAATAACACTTAAAACACTTGTTAAATATTTATAAATGCTGATTGTATTAGCATTAACTTGCATGAACATTTCTTCCTGAATAAAAGCTATAAAATACTAAGTAACTTTCCACAGTCTATCATCACATTGAGCTTGTGATTACCACAGCCAGCTCAACACATTTAAACTTGAGTTTTTCACACAAATGCCTTGAATTGTGCCAAGATAAGTCACTTATTACCGTATACCAGTTGTAATTCATTAAATAGCCCATAGCAGTTTTATATTAATATAATTCTTATTTACTCATTAAAAGGTCTACCCACTTCTTATGCCTCTAACTCTCACTCTAGTCATCCAACTCTTACATTTTTCCACACTTTATTATTATTTCCTTAGAACTTTTTCTTGTAAAAACCAGCACATCAAACATACCCTTCGTAACAAAAAAGATTTCACTACTATATTAATTTGTTCTTCATTTATTCTTCCCCATCCCCTCCAATAATCCAAACTAGTTTATTTCTGGAGGGAGCCCCTACGGCTCCCCGGAGCTTACTAGGCTGATATGCTAATGTCAGACTTTGGCATCAGTCATGTGTATGGAGTTCTTATGGGCCTACCGGGGACCACGAGCCAGAACCTGGCCCCCTCTAGAGAGGCAAGGGGAGCAATGACCTATAGAAACCCCCATATGGTTGGAAGCATTCTATGCTCGAGGGTCTTTGTGGGAGCCTAAACTTCGTGATGATGGGCTACCCGCCTGGTCGGGTTTGGCTTCGTCGGTTGTTCTGGTTCCTTCGGGAATGTCCCTTCCGCCTCTCTCGCGATCGCTGGGTTCGGACCCCGGGGGCCTTGCGTCGGTTGCTGCATCACCGGCTTCCTCTAAGGGTTTTTCGGGGTTCAATGCCTTGGCGCCTACCCGAGCCCTCGCCCGATGTGTTCACGGACGCGTTGTCTCTCGGCTGAGGCTTTGTGACCAGTGCTCACCAGGCCGGCCAGGGACGGTGAGGTCTGTCTTTCCATCTAGTATACAGCACAGTGTGGGAGTTCGCGGCGGTGTGGTTTGCTCTTCGGAGGCTTCATGTCGCCTGCGGGTCGACAATCCGGCTCCATTCAGACTGTTCCCATTTGGTTCATTGTCTGAACCGAGGGGGTTTGATGCGGTCCTTGGCTCTTTGGCGCTGGTCGCTTCGGGTGACTCGTCTGCTGAGTTCTCGGGGTTTGGTTCTCTTGGCAGTTCACGTGCGGGGGGTGTCCAACGTCTTGGCCGATGGCCTGTCTCGTTTCGTTCCCCCTCTCCACGGAATAGACGGTCAACACGGACTCCTTCCGTCGGATTTGCACAAGACGTTCGGACGCCCCGAGGTGGATCTCTTCACGTTGGCGTGGTCGCAGTGCCAACGTGGCGCCCTTCCTAGATTGCGAGACCGTCGGGGTGGATGCTTTTTGGCAGGACTGGTCGAGATGGGGGTTCCTGTACCTCTTTCCCCCAGTTTAGCTGTTGCTCCAGGTCCTGGATCGCTTGGAGACTTTCCAGGGAAGAGTTGTCCTCTTGGCCCCAAGGTGGCCAGCCCAGCTGTGGTTTCAGGCACTGCTTGCTCGGTGTCTGAACCCAGAGGTTTTCCTGTGGCTCTGCCTCTTCCAGCAGATCGGTCCGATGTGTCACGTGGCTCGTTCTTGATTGTTCCAGGACCGTCACCTTATACCTAACACTGTCGCCTTGTATCATTCGGCGCTGGCGGAGCCGCTCGTTGTTTCGTTGTTTCGAGCGTTGTTTCACCTCCGGCCTGCTCTTGCACTGCCTGAGCCGTCCTGGTCTTTGGACAAAGTGCTCTCTTTTCTTTCTTCTCCTCGGTTTGTTGTGGCCCCTTCGGTTGCGGATTGTTTTTCAAAGGCCCTTTTTTCCTGTTTGCCTCTGTGTGTCGAGTTGGGGAGCTTCATGCTCTCCTCCGGCGCAGGGGTTTCTGCTTCTTCGGTCAGGGCGATCGGTTTGTTCGTCTGCAGCCTTCCCCTTCTTTTCTGGTGAAGAATGAGACTGCTACTTTCCGGAGGGGCCCTTGGGTTGTTGATGCTTGGTTGGTTAGGCCTGGGGTGCATCATGTTTTATGTCCAGTTGTAGCTCTCCGCTGGTATTTGCGCGCCATGGCTTCTGTGTCAATGGACGCGCTTTGGGTTGATCCGGTTTCTCTTCCCTGTTCGAGGGTGCGGGGCTCCCAGGTCGTTGCCAGGGTTATTAAGGCTAGCCAGCCTGCGGTCTATCCCCGTGCCCATGACGTTCGCAAGTTCGCGGCACTTGCTGCCGTTTTTGGGGATATGTCATGGGCTGAAATTCGGGTGCGGGGATTTTGGCGGTCGAACAGAGTCCTGGCTGCTCGTTACCTTGTTAACGTCCCTGGGCCTGGTCGGGCCTGTGTCGCTTTGAGTTGGCGGATGCAACCAGTTTTCTCGACTTCGGGTTGAGGTGTGAGCAGCAACCGCCTCCCTGGTAAGTCCCTCTATTTTACTCTGGGGAGTTAGTTCCGGGGAGCCGTAGGGGCTCCCCCCAGGAAACCAGTGTTAAATGTAATGAAACGCCATTTTCTGGGTGAGACCCCGGAGGCTCCCCGGCATCCCTCCCTCCCTCCCGGTCGGCATTTTTTTGCATGTTTTGACATCTAGCCTCAGAACTGGGATGTGGATAACCGGCGCGGAAGGTCTGGGGCTCCCCCTTTTTCCCTCCCAGGGAGGGGGGACTTGCGCAGACAGCGGCACAGTGACGGATGACGTCATACTAGTTTGCTAGTTTTTGTTTTGGGGAGTTCTATCCACTCGTTACCTTTCTGGGTTCCTGACCCGGTCGATGGCAGACATAGAATGCTTCCAACCACACGGAGGTTTCCTTAGGTCATTGCTTTCCTTGCCTCTCTAGAGGGGGCCAGGTTCTAGCTCGTGGTCCCCGGTAGGCCCATAAGAACTCCATACACATGACTGATGCCAAAGTCTGACGTTAGCATATCAGCCTAGTAAGCTCCATGGAGCCTCCGGATCTCACCCAGAAAATGGCATTTCATTACATTCAACGCTGGTTTTTTAATATTTAATCTGGGTCAGGATGAATCCTAAATCTGAGGTTGCTTTTGCTTTTCAAGGGAGGGAACTCAAATTAATAGATTACCAGGCCACTTTTCCCATCCTTTTATTGAAGGGTACACAGGACTATATTTGCATCACATAGTGGAGGACGATAGTTCACCATATTGTTCCTATATTGTTGCATTAATTATTTATTAGGATACTCGAACCCTTTTTTATATAAAATATAATACAGCAAATTCTAATTACCCTATATTTCTTTCCTTGGCAGGAATGACGGCATTAATGCTAGCTTCAGTCAGTGGCCACATGGGTACTATACGGATGTTGATAGATGCCGGGGCAAACTTTGATCCTGTACCCTCGATTAATACCTGCCAGATCACTCCTCTTATGATTGCTGCTCAACATGGAAATGATGCAGTAGTGCGGCTATATTTAGACAAAGGTGTCAATGCTAACAAGTCAATTCCAAAAACTGGTAAGTACAGGTACAGTACTTGTATATGAAATATTTCCCATGTTGTATCAAGTGCACCTTTTCCTGTAATAAGAATACAGGGTTTGAGGTCTATTACATTGTACTCCTAATGCTGTACAGTAAATACAATGACTAGGTTATATTGGTCATTATAATTATGATGGGATACAAGAACAAAAGAAAGGAACACCATTTTGGAGAAAAACTGATAAAACAATTTCAGGAATGCCAACAGCAAGTGAAGAATTGATTTGGTGACAAATTGTAAATGAAACAAAACCAGATGAGAGCTTAATCAACAAGCTAGAATTTGAAACATCACTTAAAGTGCATAAAATATATAATAATGTGAGAGTGTGAGAGTTACTCTTGATACCCAGTGGCATCAAGTCCTCAATGACCCCACACTCACATGATTTGATAGTGTTTATTCGGTGGGGTGGGATCCTGGGCTGGAGATAGGAGGGTGGAGATGTGTTTACTCATGAGGTCAATTACAAAATGGTGGACCACCAATACAGCGACATGTTGCTAGCTTGAATTCCTTGGAGGTGGTCTCTGGAGTTTAGTGACCAGGATTTGGAGAGTTTGATGTATTCTACTTGGGCTGTATCTACCTCTCCTCCTCCTCCTCCACCTTTTGGTGTGGTTCACTCAGCTTCAGGTTTTATCCACCCTTGGTTTTGGCACCAAAGTGTCTGAAAGTTTTGGTGTCTGATCAGGGTTTTGCTTTGGAGGTAACTCAGCTGCATTCCGAGGTAGCCATATTCACTTTGACAGCAGAGACAGTTGAGCCATCTTTTCCCACTGGGGATGCTGAGCCTTAGTCTTTACAACCATTGCCTAGGTTCAATCCTTCTCCTTTGGACAATGCCTTTCTCTCCCAAGCATCGAGCACTCTTCCCCCATAGTTTGTTTCTGTGTGCTGTTCTGTTCATGTACTCATCATATATCTGAAGGTTTCTGCCTTGCACTATTTGTGGTGTGGGCAGATCTATTTCAGTTCCTCCTGTGGAATTTGAATCTCACTTCTTTGGTGGACCCAGTTTTGTTAGTCCCGGTCTGCCACTGCTTATCGCCTGTGGTATGAGGTGTCTGATTCATCTTGGCTGGGTCACAGCTCTCTAATCTCCTTGTGGATCTTCCCACGAGTTCTGTCGAACCCAAATGTGGGAAGTAAGTTTAATATTTCTGGTGTTCTTGTTAGCGTGACTTTGTAAATGTGTCAAATCAATACTATGCCAAGGAAATTTGTATAATTTTTACCCCATCAGTTCTTTACCCCCATTCTTTATAAATATCAATTCTAGTGGAAAAATTATTACAGTAATTTGTTTTTCTGCATTTGGAATGAGTTGCACTCAACAAAATAAGGGTTAATTATTCTAAACTTGTGTATTTCTTGTAATGAAATATTCTGTTATTTGTAATTTGTTAAATATGACTAGTAATGCTGTATTTTGTCATAATATTTTAAGGTATTACACCACTGATGTTTAGTGCTTCTGGAGGCAATGTGTCTACTGCACAAATTTTACTAGATCGTGGTGCTGATCCAAATGCTCTTAGTGCATGTGACCTCACTGCTCTAGATGTTGCTACTTCTTGCAATAGACCAGACATTGCTAACTTCCTGCAGAAAAAAACTACTCAGCACAAAAAGAAAGGTTGGTTTTGGGACAATTGTTCTTTAGGGTAGTGTTCCATTAAGTAATTTTTTATATGTGGTTTAAATACTCATTTTCAGAGATGTCAAGTTGCCACCTTCTTGGCTTCTATATCATGTGAGCTTTGAAGCTTGTGACTCGTTCAGGAAATCAATGTATTTTATGGCATCAGTGCCACAGGGGTTACAGCATCCCTGCAGGATCATATCTAGCATGTTTGGGAGTCACTGGAGGTAGTGTTACAGTAATTTCTGTAGGGAAGCCCCTTGGTGGCTGCATGTAACTCGCTGAGATTGCTCCATACTAAGATCGCATCAGTTGCAGGAGTTCTGTTTGGCCTACTGGAAACCAGAGCCAGAACCTGGCCTCACCTCAGAGGTGTAGAATGCAACTGACTTTCTGCCATTTCACCAAGAGAGCATCAACAAAGTCAGGGAAGCTTTACAGGCAACTGCTGAGTTCACAAGAACCAAAGCCTTGAAAATTCCAAACAAAACCCCAAATGATTGAAATGAAACAAAATACAGTAATTCACTTGTAACTAGCTTGAACCCGCTGGTACTGATCGCCTCTACCAGGCGGCCTGGAACTTGGTCCTCTCTTAACTTGCCTGCAGTTCTGTCACTGATGTGTTGTCAAGTGCATTACAGTAGTACTCCATGGTTCCCATTTTTTATGGTGGGGTCCCAGTGCTTCTAAGCTAAGTGTTGGCTATCCTTAGAACTTGTTAGGTCCATTTGCCTGTGTATTATGCCAATAAAGTATTATCTTTGAGAGCAGATGAGGAGTCACAATAATGTGGCTGAAAAATGTTGACCAAACCACACACCAGAAAGTGAAGAGACGACAATGTTTCGGTCCGTCCTGGACCATTATCAAGTTGATTGTGATGAGAGGAAGGAGGCAAAGGCAATAAACAGGCAAGGAGGAGGTGAGGAGAAGGAAATCCTAGAGGAAGAAAAAGCAAGGCAATGGGTACGGGAGGAAAACTGCAATAAAGGAGTAGTAATAGGAATAAGAGAGGGATTGTAAGAGAAAACAAGGGAAAGAAAAAGAAAGAATGATAAAAGAAAGGGTAGGCTTATGTTAGGTCACCTTTGTTAGAAAGTTTTGAAAATTTGAGTATATACTGTGAAAGGGGAGAGTCAACAGCAACAAAGCCAGGACTCCGGTTCATGTTGGGTATGTTGTGTATCAGAGCCGATTCGACAAGACGGCGTCTGTGTATAGTAGAGGCAGGAAAGATTATTTTGGAGGAAGACCAATCAATAGGATGATTATAATCCTTAACATAATAGAAGAGAGCAGTGTTTGTGTCTGCAGACTTAACACTTTTTTTGTGTTCCTGAAGTCTGTCATTAAGTGTATGGCCAGTTTCACCAAAGTATTGGAAATTACAAGACGAACAGGAAATAGAGTGGACACCAGCAGCATTAGAAGCAGGAGGAGCACTGTGAACTAGATTGCTACAAAGTGTGTTAGTTTGTCAAAAGGTGAGCTTTGTGTCAAGAGGACGAAAGGTATTGGTAAAAAGTTTTGAGTTCAGATATGAAGAGAAGAGCATATTGTATTTTCTGTCTGGTATTGTCTTGTGGACTTTGCTTTTTGCACTTCAAACTGCATGCATCCAGCAGTTCCTTTCCTCAATGTTCGTTTAGCTCTGTCATTGCACTAATAATAACTTACCTGGTGTGTTTGGGAGTTCACTCTTTTGAAGCCAGGTCACTAGAATGGAGTGCCTTACCTCAGTTATCTTAAGGCTCATTTGACTCCTCAGTTTAAATCCTTGGTTGGGGATATTCAAGTAGATTGAGTTGGGATGCACTTGGGCTCTCGTGCTTTGTTTATGCAGCATGCTGCGGTTGACATTTGCACTCCTGGTCTATTGGGCTGTTTTTGTTTTCCATTATTTTGGCAAACATATTCAGTTTCTAGGAATACCTGCCTTGCATATTGCTGGCAGGCCCTGGTGTTTACCTTGCTTGTCAGTGATGAGATAAATTATGAATAAAGGATGGTCCATCAAACTCTCTCTTAACCATTGCTAGTTTGAAGGGTGTTTGTTACATTTACTACATGACAACTATCATTACTTCTGCCCCCACCATGCTGCCTTTTGGTCGGTGATATTTACAACACTGAATCCTTTGGGGTTTGTTCCCCAAGGATTTTTATTGTTTCGGATCCTACTTCTGAGATGGAACATATTAAGCAGCTGATGTTATGGGCTAGGTTTACCTGGATTCAGCATTTGTGGGTTTGTGCTCAGGTGGATGCCCCGGGTTTGCCCCATATGGTGTTAGAGACTGGATTTGGAAGTTTTAGTGATCTCCACCTTAGCTCTGGCTGCACCTCCTCTTCTGTTCCCTGCAGATATGGTATGCCCTGCGTGTTACTCCTCTATGCTCCCGGCTCCAAAGCATCAGAGGGTTTCGAAATCTGTACAGGGTTTAGCTTGGCAAGTTCTGGGGTTGACCTCTCCTTTTCAAGTGCAGAGGCAGTCGAGTCCTCTAATTCTGTTAAAGGTTACAATGTTTTCCTTATCCCATTTGGTAGAAAAACCAAATGGGATAAGGAAAATACCTTCCCTTGGTAGGATGCCTTTCTTTCCCAGGCATTGAACAAGGACTTCAACTCTGCCCTAGAGCTTTCATGGCAGACTACTAGGGTGAGGGGAGCGTGCAGTTGGGCCCTTGGATGTCCTTTCACTCATCTTGGCATTTTGTTTTGTCAGAGAGAGAGGACATACGCTTACAGGATTTTTTTTTTTATCTTCCTGATAGGCTGCCTGATGACAGCAATTAGTACTAAAGGTCTTGAGCTACTGTAATTTCAAATGAATTATTTTGTTTTGTTTGAATCTTTTTGGGAGCTGTTTAGTAGTTTCTAGACTTCAGTTCTAGTAAACCCAGCATTTTTCTGTAAAGCTTTGCTGACATTCTGGATATTTTGCTGGTGAAAGGCCAAAATGTCATTTATTCTCTGTGCCACTGTGAGAGGATGGGGGGGGGGGGGGGCAGGTACTGGCTCTGGTCTCCAGTAGGCCAAACAGAACTCCTGTGACTTTGTAGAATGGAGCAATCCCAGCGAGATGGCTACAGGGAGTAACAAAGGTTCTAACAAAATGAGGCATTTCATTATATTTAATGCTGGGTTTTCAGACAGCAGCTTTCTGCAGACGAACTGTATATTTTGAGCCCTTAGAGCATTTTTATGAACTTATAGGTGCACTGTGTGACATAATGGATGCTTCACGACGTGGAGATGTCAAAGCAGTTCAAGAAATTCTCTTGACAGACCCAAGCCAGTGTCAAGTTCCTACAGCAGATGGAGCAACACCCTTGATGGTTGCAGCAATGCTAGGTCATGTGCAGGTTGCTCAGGCACTTCTACAATATGGAGCTCATATTGATGCTCAGGACCATAAAAATGGATGGACATCTCTCATGCAAGCCATTTATCACAGGTAAATAATAAAACGTCAGTTTTTATTACCAGCGACAGGCCATTCTAATTCAATTGACATTATAATATAATTAAATTTGCCTCACACAAAGATATTCATTCTCTGCTGTTTTGGTTAGATCTTACTCCACAGTCACTAATTTTTACTCATATTTCCCTGACAAAGACATATACAATTGCTTTTGCACCACTTTACGTTTTGAAACTTGTCAACTTTCAACTGTTATACATGCTTTCCAAAATGAGCCAGAACTTTTAAAGTGTTCACTGTATTTCCCATCTCAGTTAACATGAAAAGATAACGTGTTCAATTATCATACAGGTATTCTTTGGATCATCTATGTCACTCTCATTAAATTTTTTCAGTTAATTATTTTTTCATCATCATTAAGTGATGCTACCTTCCCTTACCTTGAGGTTACCTTGAGGTTACCTTGAGGTGCTTCCGGGGCTTAGCGTCCCCACAGCCCGGCCGTCGACCAGTCCTCAAGGTTGCTGGACTGGTCAACCAGGCTGTTGGACGCGGCTGTTCGCAGTCTGTATGAGTCACAGCCTGGTTGATCAGGTATCCTTTGGAGGTGCTTATCAAGTTCTCTCTTGAACACTGCGAGGGGTCGGTCAGTTATGCCCCTTATGTGTAGTGGAAATGTGTTGAACAATCTCGGGCCTCTGATGTTGATAGAGTTCTCTCTCAGAGTACCTGTTGCACCTCTGCTTTTCAACGGGGCTATTCTACACATCCTGCCATGCCTTCTGGTCTCATGTGAAGTTATTTCTGTGTGCAGGTTTGGGACCCTCATGCTGTGGGCATGAGCTGCATGGCATTGCTGTGAGTTGCTTCTGCTGCTTCTTCATGTACTACTTGTAGTTGCTGGCTTAGTACTGAGGCCCTCACATCCAGGAGGCAAGCACACAATTTTGTTTTCAAGATGCCATCTGTTTACAGGAGGCCTGAGGTGTTTTAAATCTAATGCTGGACCTAAAATTAACCCTGGTTGACATGTACCTCCAATGAAGAGACCCTGGTTGACATGTACCTCCAATGAAGAGACCCTGGTTGACATGTACCTCCAATGAAGAGACCCTGGTTGACATGTACCTCCAATGAAGAGACCCTGGTTGACATGTACCTCCAATGAAGAGACCCTGGTTGACATGTACCTCCAATGAAGAGACCCTGGTTGACATGCACCTCCAATGAAGAGACCCTGGTTGACATGTACCTCCAATGAAATGACCCTGGTTGACATGCACCTCCAATGAAGAGACCCTGGTTGACATGTACCTCCAATGAAGAGACCCTGGTTGACATGTACCTCCAATGAAGAGACCCTGGTTGACATGCACCTCCAATGAAATGACACTGGTTGATACGTGCAGTTGAAGGGTCAAAATAGTTTGAGCTTTTAACATTCTACTGCTCTCAAAAGTGTTGTTCTGTCCTCTAGATGTGAACACGCACAGTGACATAATGACATTACTCCAGGGTCACAGGGGTCTTTTATAACTGTTCTGCATTGCCATATAAATTGTCAGGTAGTCACTGGAGAGGTCCTTCCAGCACAGCAGCCAGAATGTAACTCGTTTTACAAAAGTCAAGGCACTACAGAATCCCATTCAGATAACTGGTGGCTGTCAAGGGTACTTCTTTGACAGCCAGTTGGTCTGTTAACCTCAACTCTCTGCTACCAGAGAGCAGGACCATCAATGACAAGTTTCCACAGAGACAGCCTCTCGCATATTTTGTGATGTTGCAATGTGGGTTGCTGGCAGGCTGGGACTGGATTTCCATTTCAGTTTTGATCTGCTTTCATATTGCACAGAGTTCTTTGTGAGGGGGATTAAAGATTTTCTATGTGTTTGTGTTTTTGAGGATCCCTGGTTGTTTTCTGGAAGTTTTGGCCTGTTTGTTCAGTTTAGTACTGGTGGTATACAACAGTGGCTTAGCACAGTAAGCCTATGCAATCTCGAATACAACTCCATCCTTTAGGTTATAATTTTAGGTATTTCTCTTGTACTGTACTAGATATAGCCAGCTGTCCCTTTACCATCAAGTAAAGGGCACAGCATGAATACAGGTATTGGAATTATCTAAACCTCTGCCTTTTACAAATAGAGGGGTGCTAGAAGGAGTGCTTGAAATCTTATGGTTGCCCTGTTTGTGGTGAGCTGCTTAGGCAGGGCTGTAAAGTTTAAGGCTGAAGTTCAAAATTGTATTTGTATAGGCTATTGTATAGCTATCTGTATAGGCTTTGTGTCCTGGTGCTGCGGTTAGGTAAAACGCCCAAGTAGTATGTAAAACCCTGCAATGAATTGCACAGACCTAGGACTGGTATTGTCCTTGTTTTGTCCCTGTGCTTTGTGATGGTGGCAGCTCTCCTAGGTAACTTTTGAACCTCTGCAATGTGCAGAGAAAACTTGTATATAAATTTTGAGAAACCTTATTTTGCATCTCAGTACTTAATGCTAATTTTGCATCTCAGTACTTAGTGCTAGGATAGTCAGAATAGTTAGGTCTCGAGACCTTGTTATGCAGCTTGGTACTTGGTCAAATCATATGGATTGATATGCAAAATTCTGCACGGTGCAGATTTCTTGTTAGAATTCTAGCACCCTTATTTTGCATCTCAATGCTTCATGGTTTCAACAAAACACCCAGGCTACCTGCAGTCCCTTCAAGATGCAAACTAGAGACATGAAAACTTCTACAACATGCACCCTAGACAAACTTTAGATGGTGACCTTGGGTTTGTGTCTTGGTGCCTGGTGTTTAGAGTGTAGTGCACGCACAACACACCCACATGCTTGTACAGATGTATTTTATTGAATATGACCAAAAGGATTAGATCCACAATTCTACCACGAATCTTTTCTGTTCCTCCTCACTTTGGAAGGAAGTTTATAAATGAACTAAAAAATGTAGTCTGACACTTTAGAAAAGCATTCCCAAGGGTGCCACCTCAGGAATAGGACAAAGTGTAATGAAACGCTACTTTCTGAGCATTTCTTTTTGTACCTGAGGTCCACAGGCTAGTCTGGACTCATGGAAAGAGTTCCTCCTCTCCTGACACTTTAGTCGGTGGCACTGCCACCTGGAGACAGTCATGGTAATTATTGATAGGGAATTGGGTTGTTTGTAATTACTGGGTAGTTTTGGAGCAGTTTTGTGTTATCTTGAGGTTATCTTGAGATGATTTCGGGGCTTAGCGTCCCCGTGGCCCGGTCCTCGACCAGGCCACCTTTTTGTTACACACCCCCTGGGAAGCAGCCCGTAGCAGCTGTCTAACTCCCAGGTACCTATTTACTGCTAGGTAACAGGAGCATCAGGGTGAAAGAAACATTTTGCCGATTTGTCTCCGCCTCCACCGGGAATCGAACTTGGAACCTCAGGACTAAGAATCTGAAGCGCTGTCCACTCAGCTGTGAGGCGCTCGCCCAAATGTTACCTATATATTTTGTAAAGAAGATGAGTGTTCTGATTCAGCCTGTTTTTTATCTGTAGTAGATCAGTTTCTGATCTCCATTTACTTTCTAACAGTTACAAGAATTAAGACAAACTACAGGGGCACCTGTCCCCATACAGGATGAATGTCACTTGATAGCCTGGTAGTTCCACACCATCCTATCAGGGTCTTAAACTGTGAAGAGCTACAAAGGAAACCTCTCGGAAAGTGGAATTTCATTACACTCGGTGCTCTATTGCACACCATTTGGTCCGATTCTTGTAAACCAGTTATTACAGCAGACCAGTAAATCTGAATTTACTTGGGGGCTCGGTCAGGAATATTGTGAGCTTCTAGCTATGGAGTTTTGCTAGAGCTGGTTACTCTTATGTGTCAAGAGGTTGCCACTTTAGCAATAACCAAGCTTTTGGTTATTGCTTATGAATTTGATATCACAGCAATGAAATATATTCATTATCAATAATAATGTTTAGACTAAAAATAAAGCTCTGTGGTGAAAGGATATTTAGGAGTATATGCCAGTACCTCTCTGTATATTAACACTTAACAATCACTAATCTTTCGACACAGGCAGACTGAAATGGCAAAATTTTTAATCCAGTGTGGTGCAGATATCAGCAAAGTATCACATAAAGGATACACAGCATTTGATTTTGCAAAAGAGATGCTCGATATAGATGTGATGCGTATTTTTGCTGAAGCTCAAGTAAGTGTGTGTGTGTGTATAAATCACCCAGTCCACACATGAAATGAAAGTGACAACTTGTTAAGAGTCCAGGATGTACCGAAACATCTTTACTTCAATTTTTACTTCAGTTTTATTTCATGTGTGTGGGTTGGGTTATTTGTTTGAGCTATGTTATTGTAACTTATTTTCTTTATATATGTGTATTATCTAATCACTTTTGCTTCAAACATTTGGTAGTATCTGCATCAAAACAAAACTCTCCTAGATTGTTGTTTACAATTTGTATATGCAGTAATTACATGTACAAAGCTGCATATTTTATGTAGAAAGAAACATTTTTAATTATTTCAATATACAGGTATTCCTAAAAAAAACTGTACCTAATATGAAAGTCTCCTAGCTACCCATGTGGAACTTGCTTAATTAATCATTATATATATATATATATATATATATATATATATATATATATATATATATATATATATATATATATATATATATATATGTATATATATATATATATATGTCATACCTAGTAGCCAGAACGCACTTCTCAGCCTACTATGCAAGGCACGATTTGCCTAATAAGCCAAGTTTTCCTGAATTAATATATTTTCTCTAATTTTTTTCTTTTGAAATGATAAAGCTACCCATTTCATTATGTATGAGGTCAATTATATTTTATTGTAGTTAAAATTAACGTAGATATATGACCGAACCTAACCAACCCTACCTAACCTAACCTAACCTATATTTATAGGTTAGGTTAGGTTAGGTAGCCGAAAAAGTTAGGTTAGGTTAGGTTAGGTAGGTTAGGTAGTCGAAAAACAATTAATTCATGAAAACTTGGCTTATTAGGCAAATCAGGCCTTGCATAGTAGGCTGACAAGTGCGTTCTGGCTACTAGGTACGACATATATATATATATATATATATATATATATATATATATATATATATATATATATATATATATATATATATATATATATATATATATATATATATATAAAATAAAATATAATTTGTTTTTTTTTTAAACTTTGTTACAAAAAAGGAGTTACATATAAGGTACAAAGATGATTATCATAAGTTGTCGAGTTCCTCCAGCTCCTCAGATGGTGGGCAGGAACCCTGAATTCAGTGTGCATTTCCCCTCTGTATCACCACGCTTAGGCGCTGGAAAAGGAAGCTGGCAGCTCTAGGGTCCCTTGTTGTTTCAATTAGCCTAGAACCCAGTTCCTTAACCCTTTAACTGTGCGGCCTATAAATATGACACCCCCCCCCAGTGCACAAGAAATAAATTATCTGGAAAAAATTCTTTTTAGTTCTGAAAGTGTCAAAAACCCCTCCCTGTATATGGGTATAGCAACGGAATTTCGAAATTGTACTTACTTTGGCTGCTATGGGGTCCGTAAGGTGGCGTATGATGTCATCATTCCCCGTGCGCCCGTGCCGTAAGCTCCCGGGGCCGGTGGGGCGCCCAGGGCGGGGCGCGCGAATTGCCGCGAATATATTTTTGTTCATTTTTTGCGCACAGTTCCAAATACATTTTATTTGTTTTTATGTGCTCATCCTATGTATAATGAACACGTACACTATATTATGGCAGTAAAACATTCGTACTGTCCAAGGACACTGTCTTATGTGCATAACACTTGTGTACACATACGTTGCACATATTTACCATGTATCATGCTAATTTATGTATATATACAATCTATTTACAGACTATACACTGTCACACACTATATACATTCACGATCAACACATTCAGAACACCACGAGTGTGAGCTGTCACACCCAGCCAGCCCTTCCTCACTTCTCCAACATTGTATTCGCCAACATTGCCCCTCCCATCATACAGTTATTCACATCAATGTTTCATGTTCATTTATGTATATATTCAACATATGTACACATTATACACTGTCACACACTATATACATTTACCATCAACACATTCAGAAAATCGCGAGTGTGAGTAGCCACACCCACACAGGCCCTCCCTCACTCCAACATCTTACTCGCCAACATTGCTTCTCCCACCATACTGTTATTGTTTTTATTACACTATTTACACATGTTATATATACTTATCTACATGTTTTATTTACTAGAACTATGCAAGTAAGTCCGTATTGTGTCCAAACAGTACAGTGGCCACCATACACTGCATGAGAAATCACACAGCAGACAACGCTACGATTACGATGTCACCTCCCTCACCAAAATAGCTCGTATGGGCCAATAGCAGCTGCCTCGTATGGGCCAATAGCAGCTGCCTCGTATGAGCCAATAGCAGCTGCCTCGTATGGGCCAATAGCAGCTGCCTCGTATGGGCCAATAGCAGCTGCCTCGTATGGGCCAATAGCAGCTGCCTCGTATGGGTCAATAGCAGCTGCCTCGTATTGGGCCAATAGCAGCTGCCTCGGATGGACCAATAGGAGCTGCCTCGTATGAACCAGACAGAACACGAAACAATGGGTATAAATTGGATAAGTTTAGATTTAGGAAGGACTTGGGTAAATACTGGTTCAGTAACAGGGTTGTTGATTTGTGGAACCAATTGCCACGTAACGTGGTGGAGGTGGGGTCCCTTGATTGTTTCAAGCGCGGGTTGGACATGTATATGAGTGGGATTGGGTGGTTATAAATGGGGGATGCCTCGTATGGGCCAATAGGTCTTCTGCAGTTACCTTTGTTCTTAGCTCCTCTCAACATACTCCTGTTGCTGTTATTAGACTATATACACACACGCACACTGTATATACCCATGTACATGTGTGTTCCCCATAGCGAACCATGAAGCTAGTATGGTGAGCAAAACAAGAGTGGCTGCCACACAGTGAGGCTACCTCAATTCTCTCCCTTCCCCCCTCCCTCACCAAAATTCCTCCTTCCACAATACTACCCACAACGCTAATTATAACCACAATCCTGGTCACTAATTTCTGTAAATGAATAATTGACCACAAGTTTATTTTGAATAGGAACCTAAGAAGTCGTTTGAAGATTCCTAGATGGACAAAATAATGTTGTGGTACTGTGTCTAGCGCTGTGAACATAGTGAACAGCATTGAATCACTGATATTTGAACATTGTACCGAGTCATTATCCCACTCAGACTCTTCTATAATACTATCATGACTAAATAATACAGGTTATATATATATTTTGACATTATTAGGCCACACGCTGAACAGCAGAGCTGTGCGCTCATGCTGCGAGTGCCAGCCTTGGTTGCTCACTCATTACTGAAGCTCTGACACCCGGCAATGTGGACCATGATTTTTTTTAAAGATGGCATCTGTTTACAAGAGCCCTGAGGAAGCTGATGTGAACCCCATGTATCCGCGGGAGTTTTGAATGGAACGTGAAAAATAAAAACACCCGGAGACGCGTTGCGCACCCGAAGCCTGAGCCTGCTGGCGCGTTGAGCAGTTAAAGGGTTAAAAAAAACTGGTAGCACTTTTACCCCAGGTGCCGAGTGTCTCAGAAGCAACGGGGACAAAATTGTAGTGGTGATTCAGTTCTCTGTACTTACGGGATTTGGCTGATTCCCTGTGGGTGGCAGCGCCACCTGGTTGTGCAACACCGAAGTCAATGTAGGTGTTAGCCAGGGTTGATATGCTGGCACTTAGCTAAGAAGCAAGGCCACTTGCCACGAAGGCAGATGACCCAGGAGCACTAGTGGTTTTGATAGCGCCACACAGAACTCACTTGGGGAAGCTGGCAAGGGGCTGGAGCTCCAAGCCATCTGATGACAGCTATTGGTACTAATGGATTCAAATTTCATTTTAATCGTTTTGGGAGTTTTTTGGCAGTTTAGAGGCTTCAGTTCCTGTGAACCTGGTAGTTAACTGTAATGCTTTGTTGGCTTTCTAGATTCTTCCTTATGGGGTGTCGGTGTGTTACTCGCTCTCTGCACCTTTACTATGGGGCCAAGTTCTGGCCCTCTAATAGAGGGGCAAAAGAAAACTTCTACAACTGATGTGACCTAGTAGTATGAAGCAATCTTGGTGAAAGAGCTTCAGGAGCTACCAAGGGGCTCCTCCAGAAAGCATTACATCTGCACAATGCCATACTTGTAACATTTATCTGCACAATGACTGACTTATGACATTTAAAAAATTCAACAGATGATGTCACTAGGTATTGGAACACCCTCCCCTACCCCTCAACCAGGTTGGCCTCAACAAACGAGCAATTATTCTGCAGACTTTCCTGATGGTCACTCAAAGCATGGTCTCAAACAGTGGTGGAACAGGGTGTCTAACAGGTAATGCACAGTGTTTCCCATAGTTCAAGCATTATATGGAAGTTAATATTTCCAAATTTGTTTATTTCCTGGAAGGGTCATAGGTTCCAAATTTGCACAGTAGAATAACAACATATTGGAGCAAAAGATATGGAAGGAAATGCAGACTAGAACTAGTGAGGAGTAGAGGTGCCATTGGCAAATCAGAGAACACTGAACATCAGGGGTCCACTGCTGTTCAATACCCTCCCAGCAAGCATTAGAAATATTGCCGGAACAAAGGTTGAAGTCTTCAAGATGCACTTAAACAAGTTCTTGCAAGAAGTGCCAGACCAGCTGGGTTGTAGTGGATATGTGGGCCTACGTGTTGCTCCAAGCCACAGCCTGTTGGACCAAGTTATCACAAGTCGAGCTTCCATGTTAGCACTGTCCAGTCTTGCCTGAATAATGCTGACAGTCTGCTCCTTGAGTTGCCAGCTTCATGGGTCTCAAATATTTCTAGCCAAGTGTTGACCCTCCTTTGGACTTTGTCTCATGGGAGCTATTTCCTTATGTATCGCTCAAAGGTTTAGTTTTAACATCACATTTGTGTGTTAGGTTTTGGTCTCCTTCAAGCTGCAAAGGCAACTTGAGGTTGGCAAGCCCTTTCCTAGGCACTCATCTTCCCTAATGGGCAGATCTCTTGCCTATTAGTATCCCTGCAGCCATCTGGGAAATTTTTTTCCTAATTGGTATGTTCTTGCTCCATTGGTCAGTGTTTCCATTTTGCTTGACTTATGTTTGGGCTCTGCATTAATTGCATGGTCCATCTGAATGTTGGCCTTTAGCTCTTTATGGGTCCCAGTAGTACAGTCAGTGGATCCTGGTAATACAACCGGGTTTGTTCTTGATTCAGTTGGGCATCCCAGTTTCAAATCCTAAGCGGGACAGAAGTGGTTGGGCACATTTCCTATTACCTAATGCATCTGTTTAACTAGCAGTTAATAGGTTCCCAGGAGTTAGTCAGCTTGTAAAGTTACATCCTGGGAAGGCTCAGTAGTTCAACCTTTGGGGGGGGGGGGACCTTGATATAAGTCTGGCATGCATATGCACACTGGCTATCTGTCCCTTGGCAAAATGAATTATAAGGTATCCCTTGGCTTCTTTGCACGGGTTTGCATATCTGCATTTGGCTCACAGCTTCTCAGTTCCAGGTCCTTGTCTTCTCCTATGGTTGAGTCCTGGCCACATTTTTATTTTTGAAATGTTTGCCTCCTCTGCTGAAGTACGTTGTATAGTAGTTTTAGGGAACTACTGATGGGCCTTCCCAAAAGTTAAGAATTGAATGTAATGAGACATCTTTTTCTGGTGGGCTCTCAGTAGTTTCTTGTTCCTCTTTCCTTTTTTCCCGTGGGTTGGAGGGTTTGATTTGGGCAACTCATAAGTTAGGGGACCATATTGGCTGAAGCCTTGGGTGACCTGGGCTGTCACCTGGTGGCTGTCAGGCACATCGTGATTCAGGTGTTTACCCCAGAGCAATGATCGTTTGTCATATTGACTTTGGGTACCTAATTTTCTTCAAGTAGTTGCTTGGTTTTTGTTGTTTTTATGCTCTCCAGTAGGTTCTCTTGCTTGCAGGTTGATCTCTAATCCCTCTCTTCATAGAGAAAGCCAAATTCTGGTCCTGGCTCTTGGTAAGCAAGGCTTGGTCGCATAGGCCTAAGGAATCTCCCTTAAACTTGGTTGGACCACCATTTAGCAAGAAAAAAACTACTGTGGATCAGGAAAAGGAATTTCATTGCATTTAACACTATTTTCTGAGGGGAGCCCCGTTGGTTCCCCAGAGGTGGGGAGCCTCTGGGTCTCACCCAGAAAATGGCGTTTCATTACATTCAAAGATGATTTTTTAAATTATTTTTAAACAAAATTATTTTTAATATACAGCACTGTACTTTTTCATTTACATTTGTCAGGAGTAGTACCAAAATAATATTTATGGTGCAGTCATTCCAATCAAATATGAACACATTATATCTGTAATATAACATTAGAAAGTTGCTTATAGTAATGTATTTAATAACAATGCATTGGAACCTTGTTGCAGGTTCCACAAGGTGAAGGGAATCAAGCCGCAAAGAACTGCTTCTCCAGAGAGAGACAGCCTTAGGGAAATAAGTTTAGTGCCTCCACTAGCACCTATGCAGTATGATCCTATCCTTCCTCAGGAGATAAGATTGCCACCTATTATGGTAAATTTATGTACTTCAGTGTGTAATTTCTTATAATATTTTAAGGATGAGCTGTTTGTGAGTGAATCCACAAATATAAGACCTCAGTTTTGGCATTTTCTATCCTCATGTGGCAAGGGCTTGTTGTGCTACTGGTATTCTTATACAGTACTTGGGGTCCATTTGGAGATTTCTCAGTGTTTTAATAATTTTTTATTTGATATTAAATAATGGATTATGTGGATAATTGCTCATAAAGCTTTTAGCAAAATGGTTTATATTGATATGTAATTAATATTTTTAATATATGGTAATATCAAAATGTGTTTCACTTTTGAACATTTTATAATATTATTTTAAAAGCATTATCACCAAAAACGTTTGTGAAAAGAATATTCATTTGAGTGAATATCATATTTAAATCATTGTTTACATTTTATATCTGTTTAACAAATATAAAAACATCATAAAATCTTATATACATTACAATTGCATTCAAGGATTTTGGAGCAGGCAGCATCCATGTGACAGAGACTATGAAGAGTATGGTCCCTCCTCATATTTCCCCTACTGGAGGAAAGCCAGGATTTGTGTCTAAGGCTATGCCTCCAGGACGCAAGATCCTGCCAGGAGGGCCAGTAGAACCACCTCGTCATGCTACAAACTCCAGACTCCTCAAGTGGAGTATGGGAAGTGGAGGATCGTCTCCAGGATCATCATTATCTGGCCCGAGCCTCCAGTCCTCGGGTAAGTGTTGTGAATGAATCGGTCTAACCCTTGATACCTGGATCTGTTCTGCAAAGCATTTCTGAGGATTTTTATATAATGTATTTTGTAATATTATTCCTGGCACTGAAGCAGTACCAAACAACCAGAGAAAATCATTTTACAGAATTTACATATACAGTGGAACCTCGATAAACGAATTTAACACTTTCGCGCTCCGTGGAAACTCGCGGTTGACAGGGGGTAGGTAGCCCCTCCGTGCGGGTAAGCGCGCGGTGACACCCAAATGTGTATACTCGTTCCAGTTTTCTCACCTTAATTCTCGCGCTACGTCGCTCGTTTTGGTATCATTGTGTTCGCAATTAAATTCTCTACAGGTGTGTATAAATATAATGTCCAAAAGCCTAGCGTGACTCCCAACAGCAAAGCGTAAAGTCGGCAAAAACGCACAAAATCAGTAACATGTGCATTCTCGTTCCATTTTTTTACCTTAATTCTCGTGCTACGTCGCTCGTTTTGGTATCATTGTGTTCGCAATTAAATTCCCTACAGATGTGTATGAATAAAATGTACAAAAGGCTGGAGTGCCTCCCCGCAGAAAAGCCTAAAGTTACCCGTGAACGAGCACCATTTTGTACATTGCAACCTAATGTTCAACTCGTTCAATTTGATAACATCAAATTTCGTGCTACGTCGCTCGTTTTGGTATCAAATTGTTCGCAATAAAAAAGCGAGTATTTTAAAACTAGTCCCAGAATAATAGAGCAATAACTGGATTTTTAACAAATATTTTAATTCTGGAAGCTCTTTTGGAAGAACACTGGAATCTTTCCAGTGTTCTGACATAAATATTTGTGTTACATCTTTCATTTTGGTATCAAATTGTTCGCAATAAAACGGCGCGCATTTTAAAACTAGTCCCAAGATAATAGGACAATAAATAGAATTTTAACAATTATTTTAATATTCGGACCATAGGCCTATTTATAATATTTCAAGTGTTTGGACATCAAGTTTCATGTTATATCTTTGATTTTGGTATCAAATTGTGTGCAATCTAAAGGCGCTTATTTTAAAACCACTACCAGATTGATCTGATAAAATTTAAATTTTTAAAAAATATTTTAATGAGTGACTCAGTATTGCGTCGTTGGAACACATTCAGTAGAAAAATGAGTGACGAGATAATCAGTCTGTGGAACCTCAAAGTGTTAATCCGTCCTGGCACCGAGCTTGTCATGTGAAATGCTCATCTTTCAAAACAAATTTTCCCACTTAAAATATTAGAAATAAAAATAATCCGTTCCACCACAATAAAAACAATACAAATTACTTGATGAACTCAAATTGGCAGAACGAGAGAAAATATGATAAATACCCGTACATAGATATGGATAAAAAAATTAAAAAATTATGTAATGACAAGGTGCTTCATGTGTGATCTGACCATTTTTTCTATCGTTGGATTTTCATTTTATTTCTTTTCGTTTAATCTGATGCTGGATCAGTGGGAGTTTTAAGGGCCCAGTGACCCCAGAAAACAGAATGTGACTGTAGAGGGAAGCTTCCTCAGCAAAATAGCTTTATAGAGCCACTGAGGCCCTACCAAAAAGAGGCATTTCATTACATTCAATGTTGTTTTTGTTATCAAATAAGTTAAGTGATTCATTATTAGAAAGCCCCCAACCAAATCTAAAATTTTGTTGTCAGCCATTTATCTGATTTTAGAACAGGTTACAGTATTCTGTGTTGGGAAATATGATTTGTATCATTTTGTCAAGAGAATAGTCAGTATGATATGCAGATTGCCATTCAATTGATGTATGCTTTATGCATATGCATACATCACTACTTTAAGCATATGCATAAATAACTGCTTTATGCAGTGGTAATATTGATTTAATTTAAATGTCTTCTCAGGTGAATCCAAATGTCTTGGTTCTATTCTACAAGCTAATGGGCCAAAAGGTAATAAGAACAGTGATGGGAGCAGGGAAAGGCATTATGGAAAACCTGTTGGTGAAAATGATGTGCTAGTGTCATCGTTGGACAGCGAAGGATCAGGAGGCTCCTCACTAAAGACCGTCACCTCAAAATCATCAAAATCATCAAAATCTTCCAGGTCTACTGCTACACTTGTACCCGATGTGAGTGAGGAAGCTGATGTTCGCACTGCTTCCTCCGACCTTACGCTAAGTTTAGGTTCTGGTCAGCTTTCAGAAGTACTCCAGAAATTGGCCCTTAAGCAATATCTTGACCTGTTCATTGACCAGGAAGTGGACTTGGATGCATTCTTAGAGCTTTCAGATACTGATCTTGAAGATTTAGGAATAACGACTGCATCTGCCAAAAACAAAATTCTTGGAGCTATAGCTAGCTTAAAATCAAAGCTTCAAACATAAGCATATGTTGACAGTATAAAATAATTAGATTAGAATGAAAATGTGTTTGACATTTTCTTATGTTTTATAATGCACCTGTACATTTTTATTTAAAAATAGTTTATATATTTTATTTTAAGAATTAAAACACAAATAAATGTTAATATGGGTAATGTTTATACAATTTAATTACATCATTTACGTGTATAAATATCAGTGATATTAAATGCCTTTGAAAATATCAGATATCTTAACCCTTCTGCTGCAGAGAATGTTTTGGAGTGTTTTCAAAGTTTACGTGGTGTATGCGGACCATGCTTGTGGCACTTGAGACATAGCAACTGTACATAAACACTGCAAATGTTTGATATGGCATCAGAGGTCTTTGGAGATAGAGAGGCTTTGATTTGATAAAATTGGAAACCTTCAGTGCACATCCGACCTTCACCCCGGCTGACATGTCATTTGCCCTGCCTGTCCCCCTTCGCATATGAGGTAGGATACTCATGCTTATTTGATATTTTTAGTGATGATCTAATTATTTGTTACGACATTAGTAGGTGTTCCTGAATGGATTTGGGTAAACAGTAGTCAATATAATAACTTACGAGTGGTGGGAAAGACTTAAATGGCAAAAGTGCCCATGCGGGAATGGGTCCCATGTGGTGGCTTGAGTTACCCCCTAGACATATTTACATGCACAAAACAAAAGTATAGCAGCTAGAATTTTGTCTTTATTTTTATGTAATTCTATGTATGTTCTACTATACAGTATTTTCATAAATTGAATTTTCTCCATAGTGTGAATTAAAAAAACTATATGGAGCAAAGTTAATTTGTTGCATGAAGGATTTTGTTGAATCTGTCAGGCTCCAAACAACCCACCAGCCAAATGTTTTTGTTCTTGAGAGGAACACCTTAGTAAGTCCCCAATGATACAACCTGGAAGTAACAAAGCCACGGGGAACATACCAGGACTCTGTGACCCACAAGTGCCTATTGGGGGCTAGGACCAGAATCTGGCCTGCTGAAAGAAGTGAAAAAGGAGTCTTACTCTTTGAAATCACCATTGAACCATGCAAAATAACCACCACTAAAGTCACAACACTCTAAAACAATAAAGTGCTTGAAATAATTTGTGGCCCAGATGAAAACAATACACATAATAGTTTCCACACTTAGATCACCACCTAGATATACTTGCTTTCTCTTGATAATGGTCCAGGATGGATCGAAACATTGTCTCATCATCATCTTCTGGTGTGTGGTTTGGTCATCTGAATCTAGATGTATTTCTGTGGCTCCGCCTCTATCAGCAGATTGGCCCAGCAACATGTCTCGCTGGTTCACCCTTCTCCTCTGCTCTATGCATCTGATATTTCTGATGTGGGTCTCTTGCCATTTGTGTGGCATGCAGCTCTCTGGGATATTGGTGCCTCACCTCTCTTTTTGTGGTGGCAGTATGACATTGTCTGGCTCTCATTTTGCCTCTTCTGTTCCTTCACTTTCTCCTTGGTACTCACCTATTTGTGCTTGCGGGGGTTGAGCTCTGGCTCTTTGGTCCCGCCTCTCAATTGTCAATCAACAGGTAATTACCTAAGTGTAATTACCTAAGTGTAGTTACAGGATGAGAGCTACGCTCGTGGTGTCCCGTCTTCCCAGTGCTCTTTGTCATATAACGCTTTGAAACTACTGACGGTCTTGGCCTCCACCACCTTCTCACTTAACTTGTTTCAACCGTCTACCACTCTGTTTGCGAAGGTGAATTTTCTTATATTTCTTCGGCATCTGTGTTTAGCTAGTTTAAATCTATGACCTCTTGTATAAGATTGACTTTTACACCTTTTAGACACCCAAACTCAACAGGAGACTTGAACCCTGGTCATCAAGATGGCAGGTATGTACTTAACCCACTACACCATACTCAGAGCCTAAAAAAGGTGTACAAGTTCCTGAGCCTATTGGGCTCTATCATATCTACACTTGAAATTGTGTATGGAGTCAGCCTCCTCCACATCACTGCCTAATGCATTCCACATGTCAACCACTCTGGTGTATGTTCTTGGGAGTCTGTATTATTATTGTGGTTGTTTCTGGATCCATAACTTCTTGATACTGTTGCCTCTTATTGTTAGGCACTGGCAGAGCCATTGTGCTTACATTTGGCATTGATACATCACAATGTCATCCTGCAAGTTGTCTCTAGCATTCTTTCATCTCCGGTTAGCTCACGCTTCTCCTAAGCCATCTTGATCTTTCTTTCCTCTGTCCTCAGTTATTCCTTTGGTCAGGTATTTTCTTGGAGTAGTGTTTTTGTTGACTCATCTCTGGTTACAAGGTTGGAGGGAATTGTATGCTTCTCTGGAAGCAAGGAGAAATTTTATTCCTTTGGCCCTTGTAAGTGGTTTAAACATCTGGTGCCTTCTCCTTCTCCTTTTCTGGCTTCTAGGGAGAGTTCTTTCATGATTTATGCTTAGTTGTTCCAACTGAGGGTGCATTGTTTGTTGTGGCTGGTGGCGGCACTTTGCTGCTGCCCACGTACTACTGATTCTTCCTCAGTGAACACCTTCATGATTGGTCCCATTGTCTTTGGTGCCCTATTCCAAGGCCCATTTTCCTTTGGTTGTCTACTGTGTCATCATAGCTAGCCAGCTTGCTAGCTAGCAGCCTCTTTGTGATTAGTTAGATTCAAGGAGCAACCTATCTTGAGGTTATCTTGAGATGATTTCGGGGATTTTTAGTGTCCCCGCGGCCCGGTCCTCGACCAGGCCTCCACCCCCAGGAAGCAGCCCGTGACAGCTGACTAACACCCAGGTACCTATTTACTGCTAGGTAACAGGGGCATAGGGTGAAAGAAACTCTGCCCTTTGTTTCTCACCGGCGCCTGGGATTGAACCCAGGACCACAGGATCACAAGTCCAGCGTACTGTCCGCTCGGCCGACCGGCTCCCGTAAAGGGCTAACCTAAGGGCTCTTCCCAGAAAATCAGCATTAAATGTAATTAAATGCATCCTTTTGGTAGATTCCCAGTGGCTCCCTGTATCCCTCCCTACCAGGTTCATTAGCTGCATATCCATCTCCAAACTGACCACTGGAGGTGCTTGTGGACCGAGGCCGCCTGGTGGTGAGTATTGGTACTAACCTTACAGAATTCATAGTACAACACTATAGTTTCGAGTGAAGCAATCGTTTAGTCTGAATCATTTGGTTGTTTCAATACTTCCTTTTCTATGAACCTTGCAGTTGTCTATAAAGCTTCACAGACTTTCTGGATGCTTTCCCAGTGAGGGCGACAATAATATGCCCCAGCTCTCTGTGCCTCAGTGAGGAGGGGGGGGCCAGGTTCTTGCTCTGATCACCAGTATGCCAACCATAGCTAAAAATATAGCTCCTAGAATTATTTTCCCCAAAGCAATCATTTCCTTTATAATTTCATTACCTTGAATTATTCATGTAATTTAATAGTAAAAAAAGGGCTTACAGAATTGGTATGGTAGTCTCAAAATAAATGAAGCAGCAGAAGGGTTAATTGACTATTAGTTCCAGAATAACATTGAAAGTACTGTATTAATGTACAATATTTTATCATCTTATGATCCATGCTTATTGATGCGTCTGAACTAAACCCATTTCTATTAGTTGCTTATTGAGTTAAAGATAGATATATTGTATAGTACGTATATGCAAAACTTTATCTACGAGATGTAGCATCAGGGTAAGCTGAATAGATACATGACATTCACATACAGGAAGTCAGGTGATTTACAGTACAGTACTTTGTTACACTCAAGTTGAGAATAAATCACTTTTTGTTGGCTAATTTGTAATGTTGTTATATATATATATACAGTACTGTATATATGAAGTTGTATGATGCACCTGCTCCACCCAAAATAATTGGCAATGGAGGAAAAGTAACAAAATAAATGTATATTTCTCATACACAACAATTTATTTATCCTTAGAGAATTATCATATCCTTTATTGATATACCAGTATAATGTACATACACATTTGTTCACAGTATACAGTGACCTAAGAAGACCAACAGATAAATATTTCACCAGGGAGAAATTCAAAAGTGTTACCTATGTTTGCAATTACATCTTATTGTTCAATTAGGTTTGTTCTCACCTCACAATTGGGGAACTTGGGGTTCGATTTGTGAGGACAGAAATGGTTGGATACATCTCCTTTCACTTAATGCCTCTGTTCACCTTGCAGTAAAGAGGTACCTGGGAGTTAGTCAACTGTGGTGGGGGTGTATCCTGGGGAGGGTCAGTAGTTCAACCATGGGGGTACCCTTGATATAAGCCTAAAATGTGTACTTGCCTAGTTGTGCTTACCAGGGTTGAGCTGCAGCTCTTTGGTCCCACCTCTCAACTGTCACTCAACTAGTCTACAGGTTCCTGAGCCTATTGGGCTCTAACATATCTAAATTTGAAACTGCATATAGAGACTGCCTCCATCACATCACTGCCTAATGCATTCCTTTTGTTAACTATGGTACCCTGACACTGAACAAATTCTTTCTAATGTCTCTATGGCTCAAAAAATACTGCAACATTTGTGCTCGTTGGGTCTCTAACGTATTAATAGAACTTGCCTTGGGGCAGGAGGCTTTTCAGGAAACTGCCACTTTGTGGGCTCACTTTCCTGCTTTCATAGTTTACAACATGCTCATTTGGATGCCCCAAAGTTGGCCCCTGTGGTGTGTGGCAATCCTGTTTTGGAGGAGGGTGAATTCCACCCAGTCTAAGTTTAGTCTTCTTCCCACCCTTGCTGGTGTGGTGAGCCCAACATCTGGTCTTTATTTTTTTCCCCTGGTTATAGCTCTGAACAGGCGAGAGTTTATCTATGAATGTAGCTTGGCTGATTCCAGCTTCGGGAGTAACCAAGGAAATCCCTTCCAGAAATCCAGCATTAAATATAATGAAACGTCTCTCTCACAGGTCCTCTCAGTGGTGGTCTAGTCCTGCCATTCCTCCTCCTGGGGTTCTCAAGCGTCTCTTTTGGGTAGCACATTTCTGCGGTGGACAGCTGGCTGGAGCCCTGAATTGTAGGGCTGTCATCTGGTGGTGAACGAGTGTGACTAAATAGCAATGGGAACTGGACAACGAGTGTGTACATAGTTTGTGTCAAGGTTCTGGAGGGGCTATATTTGTTGTTTCCGCTTGACCTGGGTTGGTCTAGCATCCCCAAGACTCCCGTGCCTCTATTGAGGGAGCCAGATTCTGGTCCTGGTTCCTGGCAAGCACTCATGAATAACAACAGCCAGATTGAGTTCTTTTGGCTTGGAGCTAACCAGGCAGGTAGCTCAGGAGACCACCAAGGAAAGCCTTCCTTGAAAATATAAGGAATATTGCTATAACAACAGTGAAGATATAGAGAACTTAACAAGTTTTACTGGACTTATCAATCAACCTGGCTAGCTGTGATGGTTTCGTGGGCTTGCAGGCTACAAAGACATGCCTTACATGCTGGACACACATCAGTTAATAACTAGGGAAAGCTGACCTCAGACCTGGCAATCACCACGGCAGTATGGTCCCAGATCAGGTTGTGATAGAAAAAAATCAACAGTGTCCACAGGTAAGTATTTCAAGGTTACATACAGTAGATAGTTCATATATTTAAATGTACACTGTCTGCAAGATTCTTACTTGCTTATTTCATGACTATAGTAACATTAACTACAGTGCTTTAATAAGACTACCACCATTGTGAGTTGCAAATTCATTTAGTCAATAAACACGAGTTTTAGTGCTTGAGAGACTAAAGGAGACTAAAGAGCTTGTGGTCTGGTCAACATACTTTAGCCACGTTATTGTGACTCATTGCCTGCACTTAGTGCTTGAGACATTGTGTGACTGTGTATATTAACTTCTGGAGGTATTTTAGTAATGCTGTAACTTGCATATAACTAACGTTTGTTCAGCTCCTGAGTCCATCATGTGCCACTGCAACCTGTAGTACACATTGTGTGGACTACATCATGGACGTGGGATGCATGGCTCACATAGGTACTTAGTTCTAATAAACTAACTGAAACTAAGTTAATGCTTGATGTTTATGCTAATAAACTCTAACAAGTTCATCGGTGCTGTTTATTGCCAAGCTAGCTAAATGCATATTAGAGCAGAGTTCCTGAGGCTGTTAAATATGCATTTATAACATTTTCAGCGCAGCTAAATCCAGTGAGCTACTTTCACGATTGATTGGCCTATCATGCACACCCCTATGTGGTGGGCACTGGTGGAAAGGTTACACTCACCCACATTTGTTAACTGTAGGTAGTGAATGTCGGTGATTGTAACCTCTCCACCATTGCCCACTGGATAGAGGGGAAGAGGTAAGAGTGTACTTGATAGGGAAATCATTTATGTAACTAGCTCACTGCATTTAAATGGTTGTGAAAATGTTATAAAGGTATATATAACAGGCTCAGCAGCTCTGCCCTAATATGGGCAGAGCTGGGCCTAAAAAATGTGCTTGTGGTCAGTCTCGAACTCAAAATTGATATAATGCTAATATACATTAAACCAACTAGTTTATCATGACTGTAACCTGTTTGGTTAAATGAATTTTGGGGTTCAGCCCCTGAGCCCATTATGTAATCTTTTTTCCACTGCTTCCCATGGGATGGGTATGGGGTACATAATAAATGAACTTAACTAAATAATTGTATGAATTGAGATAAATAATAAATTTAAGTTATGGAGACCAGCATAAAAAAAAATGTGAATGCATACAACTCGTGTAAGTTGATTCTTCAATAAATGTAGGTTAGAGATAAGGACATTGCTGCTACCTGAGAGATAGTCTTATCAATGTTATCATGGCCTGCGTGATCACTGTGGAGCTGTATAGCACACTTAACCTTGCCAACACAACCCTTGCCAAGAACACAGTAGGTGCCTCAGTGTGCTCTTAAGTACATAGAACTTACCTTGTGTTCATCTGTGTATGTGTGTTCTCTGGCCCCATCCACTTAGACTAGTCGGTGATGTGACTGCTTCACTTCTTGCAGGGTTAGCATTCGATCACTGATCTAGTTATTGGCTGGGCACGGTTCCTTCACTCCATCCAGTTCTTAAGTCTGCCCTCAGATTCTTTCCAATTCCTATATAGCCATACTGCATTTAATTTTATTCCTGATGATTAACTTATTTGTCCAGGAGGGTGATTGTTTTGTCCTGCAGTATGTGTGTTTTGACCAAGAATATTTACCTGAATTTACTTGAGGGTCACTAACACTCCAGTGGCCTCAACCAGGACAGGAAACTGGCAGCTTGTGAATGGTCCCGCTATTAGTGCTTATATTTGATCACCAGTATGTGTGTTTTGATCACAAGTATGTGTGTTTTGATCATCAGTGTGTTTTGATTGTCAGTATGTGTGTTTTGATTATCAGTATGTGTGTGTTTTGATCATCAGTGTGTGTGATTTGATCACCAGTATGTGTGTGTGTTGATCACCAGTATGTGTGTTTTGATCACCAATATGTGTTTTGATCATCAGTATGTGTGTTTTGATCACCAGTGCATGTGTTTTGATCACCAGTATGTGTGTTTTGATCACCAGTATGTGTGTTTTGATCACTAGTATGTGTGTTTTGATCACTAGTATGTATGTGTTTTGATCACTAGTATGTGTGTTTTGATCACCAGTATGTGTGTTTTGATCACCAGTATGTGTGTTTTGATCACCAGTGCATGTGTTTTGATCACCAGTATGTGTGTTTTGATCACCAGTATGTGTGTGTTTTCATCACCAGTATGTGTGTGTTTTGATCACCAGTATGTGTGTTTTGATCACCAATATGTGTGTTTTGATCACCAGTGCATGTGTTTTGATCACCAGTATGTGTGTTTTGATCACCAGTATGTGTGTGTTTTGATCACCAGTGCGTGTGTTTTGATCACCAGTATGTGTGTTTTGATCACTAGTATGTGTGTGTTTTGATCACTAGTATGTGTGTGTTTTGATCACCAGTATGTGTTTTGATCACTAGTATGTGTGTGTTTTGATCACTAGTGTGTGTGTGTTTTGATCACTAGTATGTGTGTGTTTTGATCACCAGTATGTGTATTTTGATCACCAGTATGTGTGTTTTGATCACTAGTATGTGTGTGTTTTGATCACCAGTGTGTGTGTGTTTTGATCACCAGTTTGTGTGTATTTTGATCACCAGTATTTGTGTTTTGATCACCAATATGTGTTTTGATCATCAGTATGTGTGTTTTGATCACCAGTGTGTGTGTGTGTTTTGATCACCAGTGCATGTGTTTTGATCACCAGTATGTGTGTTTTGATCACGAGTATGTGTGTTTTGATCACTAGTATGTGTGTTTTGATTGCCAGTATATGTGCTTTGATCACTAGTATGTGTGTGTGTTTTGATCACCAGTATGTGTGTGTTTTGATCAGTATGTGTGTTTTGATCAGTGTGTTTTGATCAGTATGTGTGTTTTGATCACTAGTATGTGTGTTTTGATCACCAGTATGTGCGTGTTTTAATCACCAGTATGTGTGTTTTGATCACCAGTATATGTGTGTTTTGATCACCAGTATGTGTGTTTTGATCACCAATATGTGTGTTTTGATCACCAGTATGTGTGTTTTGATCACCAGTATGTGTGTGTTTTGATCACCAGTATGTGTGTGTTTTGATCACCAGTATGTGTGTGTTTTGATCACCAGTGTGTGTGTGTTTTGATCACCAGTGTGTGTGTGTTTTGATCACCAGTATGTGTGTGTTTTGATCACCAGTATGTGTGTTTTGATAACTAGTATGTGTGTGTTTTGATCACCAGTATGTGTATTTTGATCACTAGTATGTGTGTTTTGATTGCCAGTATGTGCATTTTGATCATCAGTATGTGTGTTTTGATCACCAGTATGTATGTTTTGATCTACAGTGTGTACTCACCCAATTGTGCTTGCAGGGGTTGAGCTGTGGCTCTTTGGTCCTGCTTCTCAACTGTCAGTCTACTGGAAAACCGGTAGTAGCCAAGATGAGGTTTCATACTTATGCTCTAAATACTCCCATACAAATGCCTTAGACCACTACACCATGGCTACAGCCATGTGTGTTTTTTTATCGTCAGTGTATGTTTTGACCACTGGTGTGTATGTGTGTGTGTGCTTTGTCTACCAGTATGTTTTTTTCCATTTTATTTATATATACGTACAGGAGTTTTTACGTTCTTGTAAAGTCATTACCACACCCAGCATTTCAGGCAGATCCTTAATCTTAATTTTCCCTGAAACATGACCCACCAAATTATATAACAACCAGGTACTTTTTCACTGCTGGGTGTTCAGAGGCGTAAGTTATTTGGTTTGGTCGTCAGTATGTGTGCTTTTATCACCAGTATGAATGCTTTAATAGTATGTGTGCTTTGATCATCATAATGTGCATTTTATCAGCAGTATGTGTGTGTGTTTTGTCTAAATTTGAATATATTATTAGTTATAAACAGTTTCCATTCAGGACTCTTTGTTTTGTTATGCGGCAAGATGATGCGATATTGGTTATTGGAGGCAATATATTTGTATCGCAATATTGTACTCAGATAAGTAAAGATCAGGTGATAGCGTGATAAAGATTATCATTATATTAAACTGCCTTGGGTATAATTTACCTAAAAACTCAAGAAATGTCTAAATATTTAATTGAAAATGATCTCCAGAAATTTTGGCCAAATATCTGCAGTTTTCTAACTGTATGTAGTAAATATGGGTGACAAACCTTTTCACTGCTACTCACTGGTTGTGGGGGTCGGGGTGGTATGCATGATAGGTAAATCAACTATGAAACTAGCCCACTACATGTGTAAGCTACTAGAGACTGTACTTGTGGGCATTCTTGAACGCATTGTTAATATAATACTAATACACATTAAACTCTGTAACTAGTATATGAAGACTGTAACTTGCTTAGCTACATTAATTTTGGGGTTCAGTCCCTAAGTCATTATGTGCCTCTGTAACCCCTTTCCATTACTGCCCACAAGATAGGTATGGGGTGCATAATAAATGAACTAAACTAAACAAAAACTGAGGGGGAGTTTTGAGTTGCAGATCTCCAGGCACAGATATGAATGGATGAATGAATAATATAATGTTATCATCGCTGAACGAGACACACAGTAGCAGATTTGATAATGTAGGCCTATAGTTTTAGATACTTGTTTATATTTTGTATATGGCAATTGAACTACAGTTTGTTGTCTAAATGGGTTGCATCCTCGGGATGTTAGTAATTGGCTAAAGAGTACCTCGACAACCTTAACACACTTCTTGTCCCCGACTATGAGAAACCAATAGACAAAGGGCTCTCCAATGCAGTATGAGTAACAGAAATGTGATCTGGTATGGGCAAATAGGCTTTCTTTGTGCAGATTAATAAGAATCATAAAAGACATTCCGGAAGGCCTATTGGTCTATACGATTCAGCTTCCATTTATATCCCCCCCAAACTCATTCATATTCCATTAATCTTATGTCATTATATCTTATGTTTCAGCTTGCGTGATATTCCGTGATCCTAGACGTGTTGCGACAATATAGGTTATGTGATCGCAAAGAAAATTAATTACCAGTGCAAGAAGTATTCTCATATTAGACTTAAACGGTTGAGGCGCTTCCACTGGTACACAAGAACAAAGGTATTGCGACATTAGTTAGGTGAACACAGGAAAAACATCAACAAGGAAA